TCCCACCCCCCGCCCCTCTCCTCACCCCGTCGACGAACAAACGTAAACGTGTGGAATGGCGCGCAGTTCGAATGCACTTAACGAAACCGACGTGCGACACGATTAACGAACGCTTCCGGTATATGCGCGCACACACACATAGACGTCATGGATTTTCAATGAACATTGCCAACGCGGTAATGACGATGCCGCGACATCAAAGAAGGATTTAAGGAAGCGAATCTGCGGTCGTCACGAAGGCAGCTTATTTAGACCGGACGGTTGTCCGATGTGACAGATCAGGCGTACTGCAAAGTTTGCTTTGATATTAAATTCCTCGATAAGCATGATACCGATATTTTCCCTTGGAAAAATTTAATTAGAAGATACCGCTCTATCACTACTATTTAATATGTTATGTGATAATGAAATCTCACATGTAAAAAAGCTTGCTTCAAATTCATGCGGAAAATAAAGTTCTGTTAGTTAATTATTAGATCGTTGCACTTTTCATATTTAACCCTTACACACACGGTGACTTTCCGGTCCTTCACTACGCGGAAAGAACGCCTGAAGAACACAGAAAAGTCAACAAAAAATTGAAGTGATTTTATTTCACGTTAATAAACAGTCAAATTTTGTAATCAAAAATTATCATTTTGACGTCAACATAAGGTTATTTTTATTTTCTTCTGATCTATGTATTTTTTGGGCGGTATCTATAAAAGTATCTATAAAAATTTAGCTATAGATAGTAAAAATAATTTTGTTGGATTATTAAAATAATTATGTACAACGTCTGAATGTTGATAATAATTCAGCAAAAAGTTTTAACATTCTAGCAACCAGTTTGAGGGGTGTGTTTTACATAACTATTTCTAAAGATTATTTTTTAAAGACAAACTTCTTCTTTCAAACTATCTTTTATCAAACTATCTTTGCACGAGACAAGTAAAGCATTACTTATCATTAACTCACATTTTATTGTTTAAATTCCATCTAAGAAAAAACCAATTCCAGAATCCTCAAAACAAAACTGAAAGGAAACGCAAGGAATCAGCTTCCTAGACGCCTGTGGCCTAAATACTTCAATTCATGTGACAAGCGATTTTTCGAGGGGAGGACTCGATTAAAGCGAGCGTCGGATACGACGTTAATTCGATTAACTTTGCAGCGGCAATTTGTTTGCTGTTGGGTGTCGTATTGCGGGAAAATATTTCGCTGGCCGTTTACAGGGGAGATGTCGCATGGTCACGCATCAAGCGGGGGTGCGGAGCTACTTTCCTTACAATGCAAACATACTCCGTTATTAAACCGCGTAGACGTGTACTTTTATTCACTCACCAGCGAGTGAATAAGAGTCATATCGTAATAAATTGCTTTTCGGGATAGGAATCGACGATTATGCTATGCAGCTATTGCTAACGATAACGTGAACCCCCTCAAGAAGATAGAACAAAATTTATTTATCGTTATTTATAAGTTATTTGCACAAATGAATAGACAATTTTTAATATATTACATATTTTCAAATGTGTCAAATTTAATATAATATTTCCTAGAAAATTAATTTAGACCTTGTTTCTACAAAATTTCCTATAAGACTTCTTGTTTTTCTTTTCTGTATAAGATTTCTCAATTTTACGATTTTTAGATATTTTCCGATCAATATGCATTAAATATTTTTATATCTTTTTGAATAAAAACGTTTTGATTTTTATTTCCAAAAGCACTTTCGATTAGTATGCATTTTTTTCTCGAATAATAATGATCAATTAAGATAGATAATGTAATTACTATTCGTCCTAAAATTTCTTTATCTGTTATATTCGTGTGTTTATCCAGTTTAAATTAATGTACCCCCCTTTTGCTTAAAATTTACATAATTAAATGACTTTTTTTGAAGATTAAGATTCGAGAAATAGGAGGATGTAATTTAAAATTATGTAAAATTATGAAAAACATTTGTTATAAATTATTTTTCACAACGTGCAGCACGTAATTGAAAAATTCATCACCAATGAAAAAGTCGTTAAAAAATGCTTATCAGTGCGAATATTGAATTTATATAATTTTGTATTTTCTTGATAAAATTAATACGGTTATAACTTTATAATGTATATATTGTAGTATAGTGTAGAACTTGATTAGTATTTTTCTGTATGCATATAATCAATTTGAATCGGTGCGCAGTTCATAGAACCGACAATTATATTCATATGTAAGTACTAAGACCCGCTTTGACCTAAAATATAGCATTTTCTTCTCTCTTATTTATATTTAAATAACATTTCTTGATCTATTTCATCTAATATTGTTAATCAATTTAAAGTGGATTATTGTGCGGTGCGGACTCAAAGATGGTTGTTTAAAAAATAATAGCGTAAACGGCCACGTGTTAGTCGGTTGAAACGGAAGTGCGATCACTGGTAGCGGCGCGACCATTATCAGTCTGCCGATCGCAAACACTCGACGATAAGCGGCGATACCGCCACCATTGGAAACGTGTTCGTAGCGAATCCTCCCCGTTGTCATACGAGGACATAATCGCGCGCGACAAACACAATCACGCCGTTATAACGCTAGCGTGTCGCGCCGTGCACGCGACCGATGCACGCGACGATGATGGTGCACCGGCTTCCTCGAGAGGCAATCGTGACCAGAAGTGCATCGCGCTCTTCTTCGTGATCATTGTACAAGTAGAATACGAGGAACTCTCCCCAATTTTTATCCGGGTTGTTTGATTAATTTTTCGTTATATTTTTACGATATCTATATACTTCTAAGCAAAACTAAAACATTCATGATGATCAAAGTAACGCTAAAGAGGTTTCAAAATGATTATTAACCCTTAATATATATTCGATGATTTTTTGATCTTTTATAATACTACATACGATGGATCATTCATGTTTGTAGGTCAATTTTCATCATTTTTCATCTGTTATATAAAAGTATACAAAAATGATTAATTCTTACGTATACTTTAATATATTTAAGAAGTAATTAGTAAGGTTGTGTATTAGAAAAAAATGTATATAAATGTTATAACTGCACTGGAAAAATTTACTCAATTTTAATAAATATTTATTTAAATAGTACTAAACATTTATTTACAGCTGTAAATAAATATTTACTGTAATGTCAGTTAAATTAAATTAATTAGTTCTTGCCAAATAAATATATGTTTAGTAAATATTTCGTTAGTATTAAATTCAAACCAATATTTATTAAAATTTGATACATTTTTCCAGTGACTTATTTGACGTTTCTAGTATTTCAAAGAAAAGAAATGCGCAAAACACGAATGACTTAATCGTGTGTATTAAGGGTTAAAAATCATTTTTTGATTATCATGAGATTTTTTTTAACATCATTTAAATGTTATCGTGATTAAAGACTATAACAAAGTTATTCTAGCCAACAAGATGATAAACTTTTGATTGGTCCATTGTTTTTGTCGACTTCAGTAAGTCAAAATGAGTATAGATAAGCACACAGTATAGGTAAAAACCGGGTTCACTCAGCCCAAAATGAGGCTATCGTGCGTGACCGTTCTGCACAATTAACAACATGGCGCATCAATCAATTTCCTCTATTTAAATACTACAGTCTAAAGAAACTAAGCAACTTGGCTCTTATAGGTGCTCACGCTGTTTACGCACAACTGACAACATAGCGGTTATTTAGCGGGGTCACATCAATGGCCGACACAGAGTAAACCTACTATTCTTACTTATACTGTGATATAAGTTAGAATGAGATAATATACATAAAAGAAGATATCCTTCTTTTTCACTTTTGTTTTGACAAAATTGTTTGAGATTAGGATTTTATTAAGTGTAGAATTCTCTCGTGACCTGTTGTTCTGTTTGGAAAGTGTCTTTGCCTTTCTATAAATCTGTCGACGATCTCAAACTTCTCAATAAATCACCCGATGAGCTTCCTAAGCTGAAACTCACCGTTTCTCGAGGAGGACTCCAGCACTGCGGTGATGTACTTCGTCCGCTATGGCTGCTCATAGCGGAATTCGAGGCCGAGTGAAGATTCTGAAGACTCGCGTTGAGTGGCGTTACCGGGTCATCCTCCGTTGTCTCGATGTCGACCTCGTCGTCGGAGTTGTCCTCCTTTTGACTAGCGTCCGTTGGTCGCTCTGGGATCGCTGATTCGACGATGGGTGGCCCACGAATCACCGGACGGAACGCGGATTGATGCAATGGTGGATTAACAGTCGGAATCAACGGTTCCGTGGGGCTGGAACCACTTATAGGTGGCGGAAGTGGTCCTGGAAACCGTCAACATACGATTGCTGCCTAATTGAGGTCGAATCGATCCTCACTCGGGTTTGATTGTACAAAAATAATGATCATAAATAAGGAATAGATATTTTATGATTAGTTTTTTATAATAATAGTTTTCAGTTTTACATTAGCAGCTTTATCTAAACGTAAAGCTATGGAAAACGTAATTAATAATTTTACGTCCGATGGTAATTTTTCTGTAAATTTAATAAATGAATACGTGATCGTTTTAATGAATAAATATTTGATCATTTTAATGAATATATATTGGAGTAACACTGTAAAGAATGTAACAGTATTATAAATACTTAAATTAATTAATAGGACAATAATCTAAGCCAGAAAAATATAGATTTTTTTTACCGATAAAGATTACTTACGTCGGTATTCATAGTCAATCTTAAGCACAGTCTTAAGGTGTCACAAGCGAATCAGAGGGCCATATTAACATCTTAAGACATTACTTAAGACGGTCTTAAAATAAGAATCGACTATAAATACCGGCTTTAAATATTTCTAACTCTAAATTTGACAAATTTTGTAAAAGTAGATTTAAATTTCTGCGTTACTCTTCAATTATTTAGGAATTGTTTTTTTTATTTATAAATCTCATCTTACCGGGGAACAGAACGGGACTCCGCTTGGCCAACCAAGGCAGGGCGTAGGACGGAAATGCGAATGGGCTGGGTGTCTTGGCCGCAGCGACCGCCGCCGCCTGCTGATGATGCCATACGTAGTCCATGACGAGACTGCGGGACAGCGGCAAGGGTAGTTCCGGGAATGGCGGTACACGGGGATGCGCCGGTGTCGGCACCAGGGTGGAAATCTGCGCGGCACCTGTCGGCGACGATCTGGGCTGCTTCGCTGGACTCGGCGATTCTCGGGAGCCGTTCGAATTGCCTAACAAGCGTTTCCTGGTGCCGCCATTAAACATCGCCTTAACGTCCTCCCAGGCATGCACGATTTCATCCGGCTGAGTACCGGACAGCTTCATGTGCCGACGCCACGAGTTGAAATTCGCCGCGTCCGGCTGCACGTACTTGTCCGTCGGGCCCATACGGTGCGAGTGAAAGATGAACTTATTAGGCGAGAAGAACAGGCCGCAGTACGCGCATTTGATGCATTTTGCACGCGAGCTGTTGTAACGAGCGGGTAGAAACGCCCCGCGGCAACCCCAGGCGCACTCGTGATGTACGGAGAACGCGAAGTCTTCAGGTAATCTGCAAAGTGTATCGTACGTACGAATATTTATACAATTATCGAAAAGCGAAATAAAAACTTTGATCTACAAGAAGAGTCAATGATCTTCAATTTGAAACTTAACCCTTCGTCAATAAATGTGGAACTTTCATCTTTCATCCGTATGGATTTTTCAGCTTCAGTTCAGATTTTTAGAAACAATAATATTTGATTTTTTTTCTGTTTAAATATTCAAATTGAAATAAATCTTGTTTATAAATGAAACTGTCAGAACCTCACACAAAGAAATTAATCTTTAGTTGGATTAATTAAAATTTTGATTAAAAATAGACGAATCCAAATTTTCTTATTGACTCTACTAGAATTTTAGTTGAGATAACCGGAATTCTGACTGATATAATTAGAATTCTGGTTCGTCCGTATTCAATCAGACCATTTTTCTCAGTGCGTATTTTTGTAAACTAAAATGAGAGTTGTTCGGCTATATTCTTTCTCTTGATAGAAGATAGCATGGTCTTTTGCGAAAATTTTGCAATTTTACGAGGACAATCGCAGATTGTCCTGTACCAACCTGGGCGGTGCGTTGTCGCCGAGGAAGGACTTGCAGAGACGTTCCGCTTCCCTGCGAGTAATCATGCCGCATCTACGCGAGGACACCGGCATCGCCCCGGCACGACGAAGTATCTCAAGCTGAACTGGCGTGCACTGCACGCAGGTGATGCCCAACGCAACCCGACGATTGTGAATCTCGTTGTAGCTGAACTGCTTTAACAGGGTGTTGCTGATCTGTGCTAGGCACAGTCGTTCCTGTCCCTCGATTACCAGCGACACGATGTGGATCCCGTAAAGCGACACGGTACCCACCTGCAACTCCTACCGGTATTTAAACGTACTAGGATGCCCTCAGATTCGGGCGCATCGCGGGTCAGTTTCATTCCCCCGCTGCACTTTGATCTTTTATCTGTTTACCGTGACTGGCGTCATACTAACGATTCATGAAATTATTCTAATAATTACAGTCGCCTCGATGCTTTAATATCGCGTAATATTAGATTTTTATCAGTCAAAAGTATATAAAAATTCATGAGAGTTATATAAATAATTGTTAATTAAACTCAAACATATAAATACAAATTAGGAAAAAGTAGTTAATAATACGAGTTTGTTAAGAGAATAAAAAATTAATAATAATAAATTTATAAATTAATATGATATGCATACAGAATTATATGTTAAGAGAGTAACAAATTATATATTAAAATAATAAATAATATTAAAAAGATCTGAATTAGAATTATTATTTTATTTGTTTATAAATTAACTTATATAAAAATATATTTCTTTTAAATTTTTTTCTTTTACTCCTTCCTTGTGCACGAACAATCTTTTTATATTGGCCTAGATTTATATCATTTTATGGAATTTTAATCCATTAATTTCAAGACTTGCATTCTCGTGTTACCTGATTTTGTTTCGGATGCGATTGCGGTTGCGGCGATTGCGCCGATTTTTGTGAAGAAGTCAGCGGCGGCATCGACAGCACCGCCGGCCCATCCATTCTGGAAGAGAGATTATTATTGGATTGAGCATCAGAAAAGATAAATATTCAATGTAATCTCATTTGAAATAATTTTAACATTCAGATGATATTAGGAAATGCAAATTTGTTATTTGATTATAGAGGTGGAGGTTGAAGCTTTTTTTGATAATAATTTCATAAAAGCAGATCATGAAAACTAAAGTTGTACTAACGTAACTAAACAACGTTTGTAGATTGGGATTAGAAATATGCATATTGGCAATGCAATACGGATATATTAATTTTATATATATATATATAATAATATACTAGAAACACTAATATAAATTATATTAAGCACATCTAAAAATCACGCATTTTAATCAAAATGTATAATAATGTATAATATGTAATGTATTTGAAAAAATATCTACTTAATTAAAATTTGCGAACGGAAAGCCATTTCAGTTTCTGACGAGTAATATCATTCAAATAGGTATGCACCTTGCACGTTTATAATTCCTACGCTTCTTCTGCTTCATTTAAAACTGTAGTTTCCATTGACGTTTCTATAATTGCTTGAAAAATTGCGATTGTTTTAACATTGTTTTGAGAATTGCGTGTAATTTTGCGCCGGCTATATTGGGTTATCCGGGCCTATTCGACCTAATGGAAAATGCATCGCCGATGCGACGCGACAATAATTTGCCTCTCAGCGCGGTTTTTATCATCATCGACGAGATTGATTATAATCTCTGATGTTTTACGGTCGCGCTCGTGCGCTCGTGTCCGATAATAAATTCCGCGTTTTCCACTCGCGCAAGGGGAATAAAAAAACATCCTCCTCCGCTCTTCCGCCTCCTCCACACTCGTAATTATATTTATTACACTTTATCGATCAGCGCTCTTTCTCCCTCTGGATGTGCCGCCGCGTCCGGTGGTGCATTCAGCTCAATTAAATCGGGCCCTCCTCGTTTTTGCTCTGTCCCGATCGACTGCCACGCAATCGCCGGCCAATTAAATCGCAAACGGTAACGCGACTTTTCATAACGTAAGCGGCAACGCGCGCTGCTCTCAAACCGCCATTTATATTTGATTCTTTTTTTTTTTTCTTACAAAAGGATGGAGATTGAAGCTTTTCGATAATAATTTCATAAAAGCAGATATGAAAACTGAAGGTTGGATTATAAGCGACGTTTGCAAACTAGGACTATAACTTCACAAAATCACCTTTCCGCTTATTTTATACAGAATATGATCCAGCTTTTATGTAAAGATAATTAAAAAAATGCAATGAGAGGGCACATAAAATATATTACATAATTGAAATAACACACTGACTGTTAGATTTATTATTAATAAAAAATCTTCAATTGACGAAATATGTCAATAATTCATCTATCTTTTTCAACTCATCTGTAATCTTAAGTTAAAAAATGTTGACAAATTATTAGCATATATTTTGTCTATTGAAGACTTAACTAATAATAAATCTGCAATCAGTTATTTCAGTAATATATTTTATGTTTTTTCTCAAACATTTCGTTCTTTATTATCTATTATACAATTGTATATACTCGATTTGATCCGTTCTGTGGACCTCACATTGAAGACGAGTCAATCGGCAGCGAAAGCGTGATCGCATTTATCCGCAGATTCGGAAAACACGCGTGCCGATTAAAAGGTGTGATTAAGTTGTTCTTGTCACCATCGTCATCGTTGTCGTCGTCGTCGTTGTCGCTCGAAGGGCCCTCCTTAATTATCAGGCGTTGATTAAGCAAATCCAAAGACCCGCTGAAATTAAACTCGCGCGGTCAAAGCGCTGGTCGCCGTATTCTCTCCTCTTCTCTCACTCTCTTTTTCTCTTTCTGTTTCTCGAAAATTTACGGAACAGAATTAAGGACGATTAAATCCAGTTTCTCTCTCGCTTAGCCTTCTTTCCGGCTTCTTTCCGTAATCGGTAATTGGTTGATTCGTTAATCGCGCCAAGGACAATGATGTCCCTGTTGATCTCTTGATTCAATCCTTTGAAAAAATAAGTCAAAGTATCAAGACAATTTATCTTTTCAATTGCAAAGATTTAATTTTAAGGATAAAAGTCTTAAGCATTAATCGAATATACATTTAACTGGAATTGCATCGAAGGTACATCGAGTAATGTAAAATATATATATATATGTGTGTGTATAAAATTCAGTGGTTATTTTTAATGTCAGAGCGGAAAATTATATTTTTATGTATCGTTAAACAAAAATTTGTAACGTCAAAGAATTTGCGTAATGTTTTTATATCTTATAATTTAGAAAAACGTGTAATCTTTTTAATCAATGATGAATGCCATATTCACGATAGGTAAATCGGAGATTCATGAGGAAATAACTTGGCAAACTGTCAATCGACATGTTTTTGTAATTTTTCCACGAGTCAAAGCAACAAGGAATTGCGGAGAATTTGCGAAGAGAAGAGCACCAGCGAGAAGCCTTCCTCAAAGAGAACGATTCGCTGGATTTCACCGAGAAGACTTCCTTTGCAAGGACCGTCGGATAAGGAAGAAAAAAAATGGACGCTAAAGGCGAAAATGAGAGTCGGCTCTACGAATCGAGTTCTTTATCCTCTTAACGGGGGACGGCAAAGAAGAGGCTGAAAAATTTCAAGTGCCAGTAATAAGTGACTGGAGATTTCCCCGCTGTTAGTTTAACATGCGACAAAGATTTTCGGGAGTGTTTTCGAAAGAATAAATTTTTAATAGAGAAAGATAATGAAAGAGAACAAAAATCTTTCACTTTTTAAATGACAGCAAACTTCGATCCTCGGATAAGTAAAGAAGCATAAAATTTTTCTATACAGATCTGAAAGTAATTTTGTTAGACTATTAATATAATTATGTTATAAATAAAAAAATAATAAACGATGCTTTAAAAATTTGAATAATTTAGTAATTTAAGTTCCAATAAAATTATTTTTAAGTATTATTAATATTCAGCAAAATTTTAGATTAAAAGAAAATTGTTCTCTCCGCGTTACAATATACACGAAGTTGATGCAGATAGAAATAGATATAAGTACATGGTATATAAAAGTCATTTATTTTATATATTTATTAATTAAACGCTTTTGAATAAACCCTTTGAAAAAAAACTTATGACGTAAAAATATTTGGATAGCGTGTGCAAGTTGAATGACACATGTTCTAAATTATTACAAAAATAATTTCCAGCACAAGAGGATTTTTCATGAAAAAATCGTGACAATAGAAGTGAATACGGATGCATGATAAATAAATCACCATACGGTCCCGGTATACCTCTACCAAATAACGTAATACGAAATTCGGGCCGTTATCATGCGGTTATACGTTATGCGGTAATACAGTTATATATAATTAAGTTAATAACGCAATGCACATAAGACAACAGAGACTCGCCGTGGAGAAAGAGGTGGGCGAAAGAGTCGGGAAGGTAGTACGGGGGTTGAGGGATGCATCGCGGAACAGGTACGCCGATTAGGAGGAGAGATCAAAACGGTCCATGTCGACGAGGAGAGAAGCGAACGGGGCACGGGATCGGGGCCAACCCCCGGTGTTGATTTTAATTGAAAACGCCTCCGCGGAGGAGGTAGCGCGTGTACGTATATATACGTGTATATGTCGCTACATGCGCACGAACACAGATACCGATGCAACCCCCGACAACTGGAGGCAGCGCGAGAGCGCCAGCGCCCCGGCAAATGTCCCCGGGGAGCCGTGGTACGAGGGGGTAATTCAATTTGACACCCCCACCCACGCTTAAACAAGGCAGCACCCATCCGAGCGTCCTCCCTCTCCCCCCCCCTCTCCTCTTTCACTCTGTCTCTCGCTCTTTCTCTCTATGTGCCTCTCCTCTTTCGCTTCAATGTCTCTCTTACTCTCTCATTCTCCTATTTCTCCTCCACCTTCTCCTCGTTCTCCTCCACCGTTTCCTCTCTTCGTACCGTGCAAATTAAATTCTCATCCACCGTGAAACAATGTCGGTATCCGACCCGGAACAACCCCCCGGTAGTCGCGAGTTTCCCCGTTTCCATCCCTCGTTCCCTTTGCCGCCCGCGCTTCGGCGAGCCTCGCGGATTCCGTTGGTTAGCGGTCGGATGGATCGGACTCGAATCGACCGCATTAATTACTCGCTACTTACAATTATAGTGCAGGCCGAACGAACCGTCGATCGGCCGGTCGTCGCAACGATCGCGAGATCTACTCGCTAGTCGACTTAGTCAAAGCTCTTTAAAATTTATCCAAATTAGAAGAGACATTCAGAGAACAGCCCATTTTCTAATTTATGGTAATTACTCATATATAGCGTTACTTAATAATTTCTCCTTTAGCTTGCATTAATAAAACATATTCTATTTCTCCAATGAAAAGCTTTTAATTTCGTAAGTAGAGCTTCTGTGTAGACAAAAAGATAAATAAAATAGACATCCAGATCTTGATGTTATTGACAATTAAATATCGCCCCTTACCGCATTTTAATTTCAAATGTAATTCAATTAAATGTAATAATGAAGTTCTGTCAAAAAACATAATGATTCCGACGTTGTTATCCAGATACTCAGAAATTTTTTCTGTAGTTCTTCGATTAATCCCAGCTGTGGTCTAGGTATTCGGAAGCATTGCAGTAGCTCTTCGATTAATCTCAGCTGTAGTTCAGCGGCGCGACTAATCTAATTAACTTTAATAATTAAATTAATTGTCACGATACCCGTATAATCTCAATGCCGTTGTAATTATCGAGATGCGATCGTTCAGAAATGTCACTGCAAAGACTTAGAGACGAGATCGGAGATTGTACGCGCTAGATATAGACGAACGGGGACGAGAAGAAGTCACGACGGCGCTCTCCGGATTACGTACCCGCGGGCTCGCGGATTATTTAAATGCAAACACAATGTTGTACCGGGACGCATTGTTCCCCTCTCGGTTATTTTACAATTCAATCTGCGATCCCGGGACTCCGCCGACGCGGCGCGGAGGGAGGGAGCTCGCTCGGTCGTTCGTTCATTGTAACATTGTTAAATCTCCGTCCTTCCATCATGACTATCTCCGGTCCTTTCCCAGACACTGTCTCTCCCGCTATGTTTCTCTCTCTCTCTCTCTCTCTCCTTCAACCTCTGGAATCCTCTTCTTTCGACTCTACTTCTCCATCTTACGTTGAGAACACAATACTTCTGTCTCCTTCTCCCCTTCTCTCGGTAATTGTACGCGCTTTTTCGATTCTTCGCATAATTTATGAGCGGCTTCGTCTCTTCGCTCCTATGGAAGCACGGCAGAGATGTAAATAGGCACAGCGAGTGCGTAATTTTGCTGGATAACGAAGCGCAAACGCGCGGTGTAAATCGCTATTAATACATCGACGTCATCGCGTCGCTCAGTCACCAGTGACTGCACTTGACGCTTGCAATTAATCCGTCGATCTGGCTGTCGGGTTTAATTCTGACTTTCGATTAGTTCACACGAAAACCTCGCCGAGTTCTCTCTCCGAGGAGCTCTTAATAATTCGAACTTGAGGAAATGTCTTTGTCTATTATCAAAATGGATTATAATTACCATTTTATTGCGCAGTTATTATATTTTACCAATAAATCCCCGAATATTTACAATAGAATATCAGAGAAGCGAAAATCTTTGTCTATCAAAATAAATAATAATTATCATTGAATTGCATTATTATTATTATATTTTACTATTAAATTCTTTAATACATATTTACAATACCCGTACAATGTTACGAAGGTGATTTTAAATGACAACGTTAGTAGTTCTATTTGAATTCACTTTCATATATTAATTTATATTGTTAATTCTTAATGCTTCTCGCGGCGAAATGTATCGGCCTTGCCAATAATAATAATTGTTAATCCTTCGGTCTTTGTATCTGTATACGCGTTAAAATGTTATCATCTAGAGTGGCATCAGAGGCAAACACAATGCCGCGGGCAATCGGAGTCCGTCAAGAGGATCAGGAGATTAAGTGCCACTCTCGGATAATAATTTTAATAACCGGAATGCACTCTCTCTCTGATCGTCATAAGTACTTAGCTCCATCCAGGGAGAACGGATCTTTTACCTTCCATACCCGGTGCGTGTTTTTACAATACCAGTTTGTGCGCCGAGTCACGTTCAGTTATTCCCGGGGGCCGCATTTATATTTCATGATTCAAAAATTACACAAATGCTAAGCCGATATGATTCATCGCGCTTTACATGTAACTTTACAAGTCTGCCGTTTAAATGATTACGAGAAAATATGAAAAAGTGGAATTAGCGGACTAAGAGGAATGTTGGAATGTTAATCATTCAGCTCTCGAACGAAAATAATATTTTATCAAAGATTTCCTAAACTGAGACAATATATTTTTTTAATAATAATAATAGAATACTAAGTAAAAGTAAAAATAAATTTATAATGTAGAAAAATTTTTGTTATTTATATACATAAATATGCGCATAATTATAATACATATTACATTCATAAGAGAATAAAATTTCAACTAATGTTTTTATTTTCTTCAGAGAAGTAAAGGAATTACATATAAAGAGGGAACGATAAAAGAATTTAATTAATTTGTTAAAAGAACATAGCATATCTCTTGAACATCTACGAAAAAATTAGTTAATTCACCATCGGGCCACTTAAAGCTTAAAGACGTTATCCTTCAACTTTTCAAAGACTTTAATCGTGTCCAGCGATGTTATAAATCGCGCGCGCGTAGCCAACCGAAAAATTAGGCGAGACACGTCTTTCCTAAAACATCCGGAAACTTTCAGAAACTTCTTGAGATAACGCACCTGGGACCGCGTAATCTTTTTATTTCAGCTTAAATGGAAGATTTTTGTAGGTTTATTGTATGTCAATTACTCTCTAATCCAGTTTAAGCTATATATTCTTACAATTCTATTACTTTTCGGTTCTTATTGTTATTATAGGTTGTTATTGAATGCTTTAAAAATTTCTTCGATGACAAAACGATTGAATTATAAGTAAGCCAACGGTTTAAAATACGATCCATCTAATACGTGTCAATCTGACCACTTTATTCTTCTAGGTTTCTATTCAAAGTGCCTATTTACGCACAGGTTGTCACCTCGGACGTTTCTCGTAGGATACAAACCAGCGGCTAATCCCAAACACAAACAGTTTATGGTGTTTGTTCGTTCAGCACCCCTATAGCGCAACGACCCGGTGTATCCCCGCGGGACCAGTTTGCTTAGAACCCGCGCGAATCGACTATCAATTTATTTAGCAATCCGGTCCGAGGGAGAGACCTCTTTACGACACTGATTCTCCGAGTTCAGTGAAAGTCGTTAGAATTATTCTTGCGTCTCAACACGGCGTACAGCTTTAAGGATAGCAATTAAAATCTTAATGAACAAGTATGACGTATAAATGCCTGTTTTTCTTAAGCTTTCCTTGCGTTTAAAGTGAAATAAACATATATCTATGTAGTGAAAGAAGAGGAAGGAGTTTATGAGAGGATACATAAAATGTATCTAACAATAAAAAGAACCAAAGAAATAAAAAGTCTCTAACGTATAAAAGATATACACTCAAGGATTTCGATAGAATGCAAGTCGATTCGTACCTGAAGATGCAGTTCAGTCGTCAAACGGTGCGCCTAACGTTGAGAAGTGACGTCTATTTCACTATTTAAGTCACGATCACCAGCTGTTGATCCAAATAGCCGATATTCTTCTATAAAATCAGTTACAACGGAGAGTCTTCTCTAATATATAATTCCTTAATGACACTTGTCTCTACATCGATAACAAAAATCTGTTTATTACATCAAAATTTAATTTCTTCAGTTAAAGCCCCTCCTAATTGGATTCTTCAATAACTACGCGTTTCGTTGTTTCACTTCCAGCAAAAGTTTATTTCTTTGATCACGAAAACTCGTTTCTTCAACACCAATAATGAACGCTTCAGTTCCTTCTGCAGTCGGTTTGTTCCTTTAGCTACGTTCGAAGCTACCCTAATTATGACGATTATACCTCGACGGGGGTTATACTAGTCCCGTACTGTCGCGGCCGACTGTGGAACGTGTGCTCGAGGATGGTTTACTCGCGAACGAGCTCGATTGTCCTCCGCGCACGGGGTGCGTATCAGTCCGTACTTCGCGCGCCTCTTTCGCGTTACCCTCTTTTTCTCCGGCCGGCACCCCGCGGTGAACGAGAGCACTAAATCGGGACTCGGGTAGCAAAGAACCGCCCCCGAGTGTCCCACCCCCGTGACAACCAACCCCATGCCGACGAAGGCGGGGCCTCCTGGCTCTCTTGCCTCTCCGGGGGTGGCTCACCTCAGGGGTAACTACAAACACGTACTTACACGTATTTACCGAACGTTATTATTATACCCGGACCCGACTCGCGTGCGCGCGAGCGCATACAAACGGGGATGAAAGAGAGAGAGAGAGAGAGAGACAGGAGGTGGGGAGAAGGGGGGAAGAGGAAAAGAGAAAATAGGGAAAGGGAAGGAGAAAGGGTGACAGTATGTGCGCGTGCGAGCGCACTTGCATTTACGTGGACTTTTACAAGGTATTCGTACGCAGCTCTAGCAAGTCCAAATCAAGATTTTGCTGTTGTTTCAAAATCATAGTATTAATAGATATATTTTTTTTATTATTTATATGTACATTTATTATTTATAGTAGAAAATTGTAGAATTATAGATCTTAACTATTGCACTGTTTGTCAAAGAAATATTATCTTTCTCAGCGTCTCAGAAAAATTTCCTGCGTTAACATTATCTTAGTTATAAACACCAAACACTTAAAAAAATTTTCTAAAT